GCAGTTTTCACCGATGTATCGCTAGAGATCTAGCTTCCAATATGGAAGAAAAAATTAGAGAGTTGCCCCCTGTGTTTTAAATTTCAGTTTAGGTCAATTGATACGGTAAAGTTAATACTGCAATATGGCTGTCAAAAGAAAGAAATTTACAAAGGCTTACAGCTGCAAATATTTTTGTGGAAAGTTGCCACCTATCTGAAAACTTTAATTTAATTTAATTGATAGCAATTTTGGCATCAAACTAAAGACGATAGGAAATTTTAATGCTGAAAATATTTTTAGGGGATTTGCGAACTGATTAAAAATTGTATTCATTAAAATTTGTAAAATAAATGAAATATTGCAATACGAATATTAAACTAAAGAGGATTAGGAAGCTTATTTTTGAAAATATTCTTCAAGCGGGTTGCCACTTATTTGAAAACTTTAATTCAGTTAAATTTATAATATAAACTAAGTGTTGCCATATGGGTATCAAACGAGAGTAATTGAGAATAATAAAATTGCAACAGGCCGATATCTGTACATAATAGATGTTAAAGAAAAATTAATAGGGGTTTATTAGATAACAGAAGCCAAATCTAAAATTTCGGTACGTTTGTCTGTATGTTTGTTGATGCGCAAAAGCTAATGTATTGCTAGAGCTCTAATTGAAAATATATAATCAATTTTTTTTTTGTTTTAGTTTATCGTCGATCATTATTCCTAGGTATTTGAACGTATTAACTTTTTCCAGCGCGTCGTTGTTATATTTAGAGTTAGCAATGGAAATTTCGCCTTGATATAACCACAAACTTAATTTTTTTTTTCTGTGTGGAAGGTTTTTCGCTAAAAAAAATTAAAACTTTTCGTTGTTGCTCCCAAAAAATTTAAGAAATCTGAGACGTCACGTTTTACAATTTCATACAGTTCTCTTTACAATGTATTTCACTAACCTACTAAACGGCTGCACCGACTTGGTTCATATTTGGCAACACCTTGAAAATAAATATTCTGACCAAAAATTTACTCGGGATGTAGCTCGGGATATTCCCAAAATTCTTATACAGACTAAAACGTAAAAAACCAATATATCTCTAAAACCAATTACGCTGGGAAACTGAAGCTTAACACTGATGCATATATTGCAAATGCATTGGGAAAGGGGGCATGGCTCCTTCCTTCCATACAAACTGAACTTCTCATATAGCTTATCTCTGGAACTGCTTTCGCCTGAAATTCTACACACCTACATGTGTTATCAATACCGTAGTTATGGCGAAAAGTGGTAATTATTGGAAAGGCTGGAAAGATATACATTTACGTAAACGCGCAAGTATCATTCGATTGGGAACCATTTTCTCCTAGATTTCTAAATCCCATTGAGCTATTGGATTTATGTGAAAATTTTGAAGAATTTTTTTAAATGTTTCACAATTATGTTACGAGTTTCGCTATAAGCTGTCCTATCTACATACCTATTTGCATAAAATGATAGCCGTTTTCGTTTTTCGGAATAAACTCATAAACCACTGAATAGAGTTCCGTCAGATTGTCGGAGGTTATCTTACATACATATATGGTCCAATTATATGCTACTAGAAAACTCGCTAGGTGGTGCTGGAGTAGAGTTATTTATAAAAATCGTATTTATTAACCGATTTCGTTCAAATTTTAAATGTGAGCTATGTACCTGTATGCTAGAAAATTCTTTTGATAAAAATTTACCCGATTAGTGCCGCTGGAGTTAAGGTTGAAATTCATAACACGTATTCATTTTATGGTAAGCAATGGTTTTGCAGAAAATGAACCCAATGGATGGCGCTGCAGCCGAAATGTATAGAAACCACGTGTGGTTGGTCTGCTTTGGACCTATGTTTAAGTTATACGAATTTAGTTTTCAGATGTCTAAATGAAGGATGGGGTTAAGTTTTTCTGACGCCCTCATGCACAATCATACGGTCTTGCATCTACCCAGAAATAAGTTCATAAATTTTACCACGAATTGTAAAAGTGGTGAATTAACAAGGAAAGATTACCGTAGGTATATCAATTGCTTCATTTGAAAGATACCTAAGAGATCACACGACTCATTTAGCAATGTACCGGAAAACTTTTCATCCTGTGGGACAGCGAGGATTCTTGGCCCTCCTATAACAGAAAACGCACTTCTGTGCTCTTGAGTTTCCCTATAAGAACTGTTATTGGCATACGCATCGCACCAATGTTGTAGTTGCAAGATCATACAAAAAGATTACGCATGCTTGGCAGAGATCTCACAGGTGGAAATAAGACCATCGGTAAAGCTCATGAAACCGAAAGGGATTGGTATTCCATATGGTATCACAGGGTTACTATTATTGGCCTATGTGTGAGGAGGATACTGCGCCTTAGCGGTTTCAACTTAATTCAAAAATTTTGACTTTACAGACTAATTTTGTTTTTAAACGCTCTTTAGCATTGGCTAACGCAAAAGCTCTTATTAGGTGCCGCGAAGTAAGCGGGCATTGGCTAGTATTTAATAAAAAACTATTTCACTTAAGCTTAACCAACTTTTAATTGCTCGGAGCTAATTTTGGAATGGTTCATGGAATATTTTCATAGACGGTAAATGAAATCCTGGCTGCATCGTTAGTGAGCTGAAAACCAAAACAAATTAAATTTGTGGAATGGAGCCTTTTGAAATGGCCTTTACAAATGGCAATGGAATTTCGACATTATTCAAGGAATCGTGAATATAAGCTTAATATTGACCTGATTTTTTTTTAATAAATACCAGGAATAAATATTTAATAAAAAACTATTTCACTTAAGCTTAACCAACTTTTAGTTGCTCGGAGCTAATTTTGGAACGCTTCATGAAATATTTTCATAGACGGTAAATGCAATCCTGGGTGCATCGTTAATGAGCTGAAAAACCAAAACAAATTAAATTTGTGGAATGGAGCCTTCTGAAATGGCCTTTACAAACGGCAATGGAATTTCGACATTATTCAAGGAATCGTGAATATAAGCTGCCTTCTATTTGGCATATTTGGGGGTTAAACTTTCAGAAAGTTCCAAAAAAAAAACAACATTATTTTCTATTTTTATTATTATATATTTTTGAAATAAAAATATTCCACTTTGTACACCAGACAATTTCTTTAAACCATCTTGCGCAGCAGTTTGTTGATATTATCTTCACGGTTACCGAAATCACCAACCCCAACGTAGTGGCCACGGTAAGTTCGAGGCTTTCTTGAACTGGAATCCAGTAGCGCCAAATAATCAACGCACTGAATATCGTGCGCTTTGTCCAATTTGCGTTCGATCACAAAGTTGTCAGAGTTTGGGACACGTTGGTTGTGCTTGACCATTCCATGTTTGTAGATCAATTCACGAACTGATATAAGATTTGGATAGCCCCATGTAATATAGGGTTCGGCAATCCGTAGCATATTAATGGTTATATTGTTCAATTCTATGAACAAACCGTTGTTAATGTGGCGAAGATGGAACCACAGTAAAACTTTACGCACTTTTGGTGCAACTTTGTTGATACCGCATTCTGCGGGCACGTAGAATGGGCCGCGTTTCTTTGCCAGACGGCGCAACTTTATCTCACGGCGTCCATCAGGAGATATTTTGCTTGATATTTCTCAGCATGCTCCAAGTTTTCACGCTTGCGGAGTGCAATCACAGCAGAGCGCTTTAGTTTACGCTTGATCAGGGTAGCACGTTTGCTTACCTGCTTCCTGCTTAACTTTATCTTCGACTCGGGGACAGCAGGCAGCTTCCTGGAAGGTAGTTTTCCCTTTGCTTCGGGCTTCTTACCGGCTGTGATAACAGTCAACTTATCTTGTCACTTAGCACGTTGAAAAGGCGAAAAGAAAGTTCGCCAAATATTTGGAGCACATCTTAAATAACGCCACTCGATTTATAGCATTTCTATTAAACACAATTTAATTTAATTTATTACTTTTTTAATACATAGATATGCTGCAACCAGGCACTTACTTTCCCAAATTCCATCTTGCTTATAGGCATAATTTTCCAAATGTGCCTGAGATGCTACTTCATACTAATAACTTCATTTTCCAACTGCGCCCTCTTTGTTGCCTCAACATATCCTAAAAAGACATAAAATTTACATTAAACAATAGAAATCGCAAAAGTTGGAAAATAAAATACTCCCTTCATTTTGTTTTGTTGTCAAATTTCTGAGAAATGTGAATTCACCACGATGCAATACAGAAAGACCAAGGACCAGGTATGTAATTTCAAGTATTCAGTGGCAATGCGCAGAGCGTTCCGAGTAGCAAAATTAATTTGTATCAAGTATAACATTAAACGGTAGTTCTAATACATTTTTTAATATTAATAATCAGAGTACATGGTATGGAGTATGGCATTTCTTTCAAAAATTAATGCACTATATGCATTTTCTTTTAAGTTTTTCTTAAGTTTCTTTCATTAGTGCTGAAAAGCAACCCTGCGCGTAAGAAATTATGTGGTACTTAAAAATTCACCTCTGGAAACTTTATCCCCATAAAGGACTTCACCACAGTTTTTTTACTGGATATACTGAGGGACGGACGGACGGACGGACAGACAGTCACCGCTTAATCGTTTTTTTTTCATTCTGATCATTTATGTATATATTTGTCTATATCTATCTCCATTCGTTTTGCCTGTTACAAACAACCGTTATGTGAACAAAGTTATAATACCCTTGTGCACAAGTGCTCTCGGGTATAAAAAAATTCAGATTTTTCTTAATTTTAGCACAAAATATGAAATTTGGATTTAAATGACGTTTGTAAGTAATCAGCTTCTTCTTCTTCTTCTTCTTTTTTGGCGCTGTAACCGCCTAAGCGATTTTGGCCGAGTTCAGCAAAGCACGCCAGTCGTTTCTCCTCTGTGCCAACTGACGCCAATTGGAAACGCCAAGTGAAGCCAAGTCTTTCTCCACCTGATCTTTCCATCGCAGTGGGGGCCTCCCTCTTCCTCTGCTACCACCAGCGGGTTCCGAGTTGAATACTTTCAGAGCTGGAGCGTCGGTGTCCATTCGAACGACATGACCAAGCCAGCGGAGCCGCTGTATTTTAATTCGCTGCACTATGTCCATATCATTGTAAAGCTCATACAGCTCATCGTTCCATCGTCTGCGGTACTCGCCGTCGCCAACGCGTAAAGGACCGTAAATCTTCCGCAAAATCTTTCTCTCAAACACCCCAAGAGCCGCCTCATCGGATGTTGTCATTGTCCATGCTTCTGCGCCATATACCAGCACGGGCATGATGAGTGACTTATAGAGCGTGGTTTTCATACGTCGAGAGAGGACTTTACTCCTGAATTGCCTACTCAGTCCAAAGTAGCACTTGTTGGCAAGAGTGATTCTTCGTGGGATTTCAATGCTGACATTATTATTGGTGTTAATGCTGGTTCCCAAGTAAACGAAATTCTCTACTTTCTCGAAATTGTAACTGTCAACAGTGACGTGGGTGCCAAGGCGCGAATGTGCTGACTGTTTGTTTGATGACAGGAGATACTTCGTCTTGTACTCGTTTACCACCAGACCCATGCGATTTGCTTCCCTATCCAACTTGGAAAAGGCAGAACAGACTTCGCGGTTTTTGTTACCGATGATGTCGATGTCATCGGCATAAGCCAGCAATTGCACGCTCTTGTAGTAAATTTTTCCTGAGCGGTTCAGTTCTGCAGCTCTTATTATCTTCTCCAACATCAGATTAAAGAAGTCACATGAAAGGGAGTCGCCCCGTCTGAAACCCCGTTTTGTGGCGAACGGCTCGGAGAGGTCTTTTCCAATTCTGACGGAGCTGGTGGTATTGCTCAACGTCATTTTACACAGCCGTATGAGTTTTGAGGGGATGCCAAATTCAGACATAGTGCTGTCAAAAGCGGCTTTAAAGTCGACAAATAGGTGGTGAGTGTCGATCCTTTTCTCGCGGGTCTTTTCCAAGATTTGGCGTATTGTGAATACCTGGTCTATGGTGGATTTTCCAGGTCTAAAGCCACACCGATAAGGCCCAATCAGTTCATTGACGGTGGGCTTCAGTCTTTCACACAATACGCTCGATAAGACCTTGTAACCTATGCTTAGAAGGCTGATCCCGCGGTAGTTGGCGCGAATGGCGGGTTCACCTTTTTTGTGGATTGGGCAGAGCACACTTAAATTCCAGTCGTCGGGCATGCGTTCATCTGACCATATTCTGCACAAGAGTTGATGCATGCACCTTATCAACTCCTCGCCGCCGTACTTGAATAGCTCAGCTGGCAGGCTGTCAGCTCCAGCGGCTTTGTTGTTTTTCAGCCACGTTATTGCTATACGTACCTCGTCATAGTCAGGCGGTGGAACGTCGACTCCGTCATCATCGACTGCGGGCTCGGGTTCTTCTTCTCCACAACTTTCCGTGCTGCTACCATTTAGTAGGGCGGAAGTGTTCCCTCCATAATTTCAGTACGCTCTGGACATCAGTTACTAGGTCGCCATTATTGTTCTTACAGGAGTGCGCCCCGGTCTTTAAACCTTCCGTAAGTCGCCTAACTCTCTGGTAAAATTTTCGGGCATTCCTCCTGTCGGCCAGCATTTCAAGCTCTTCGCACTCACGTATTTCTGCCTCTCTCTTCTTGTTGCGGCAAATACGTCTCGCTTCCCTCTTCAGATCCCTATAGCGGTTCCACATAGCGCGCGTTGCGCCCGATCGCAGCGTGGCCCTGTAGGCGGCATCTTTTTTCTCTGCAGCTTCCTGACACTCCTCATCGTACCAGTTGTTCTTTCGGGCTCGCTGAAATCCGACTACTTCTTCGGCGGCGGTACTTAATGAGCGGGAAATGTGGTTCCACTGCTGGCATATGTCGGTTTGTTGAAGAGTGCTCTCTGAGAGCAGGTGTGAGAGTCGAGTAGCGAAAGCGCTGGCTGTCTGTTGTGATTGCAGCTTTTCGACGTTAAGCTTTCCTTGCATATTGGGCGCACATTTTTTGCTGCACAGAGGCGGGTGCGTATCTTGGCTGCAACAAGATAGTGGTCCGAGTCGATGTTTGGGCCTCGGAGTGTGCGTACGTCTAAAACACTGGAAGCGTGCCTTCCGTCTATCACAACATGATCGATTTGGTTTCTCGTTTTTCGATCCGGAGACAGCCAGGTAGCTTGATGGATCTTTTTATGCTTGAACCTAGTACTGCATACTACCATGTTTCGGGCCCCGGCGAAGTCGATCAGCCTCAATCCGTTGTCTGACGTTTCGTCGTGGAGGCTGAATTTTCCGACGGTGGTTCCAAAGATCCCTTCTTTTCCCACCCTGGCATTGAAGTCGCCAAGCACGATTTTGATATCATGACGGGGGCAGCGCTCGTACGTGCGCTCCAAGCGCTCATTGAAGAGATCCTTGGATGCCTCATCCTTCTCTTCCGTCGGGGCATGGGCGCAGATGAGCGAGATGTTGAAGAATCTCGCTTTGATGCGGATTGTGGCTAGACGCTCGTCCACCGGGGTGAATGACTGTACTCGGCGACGGAGTCTCTCTCCCACCACAAATCCAACTCCGAATTTGCGCTCCTTTACATGGCAGCTGTAGTAGACGTCGCAAGGCCCCAGACATTGTTTGCCTTGCCCCGTCCAACGCATTTCTTGGATGGCGGTGATGTCAGCTTTTGTCCTTACGAGGACATCAACCAGCCGGGCAGAGGCACCTTCCCCATTAAGGGTCCGGACATTCCAGGTGCATGCCCTCAAATCGTAGTCCTTTAAACATTTGCCGTGGTCGTCATCATAAGGGGAGTCTCATCCGAGGCTTTGTCTTGCTTCTTCACTGGAAGTGGTTTTTACGTGGCGGGTCCCAAGCCCAGCGCACAACCCATTGCTGGGACGGGGGTGGTTTCGCAACCAAATACACGTTTATATAGCGAGCCGCTTGCTCCAAGCAGACACCCGCTTGCAGCCGCACCTACTGGTGAACAGACGCTTCAGACTTCAGTGAGCCCTTAAACCGAATAAGTCAGAGTGGCCCCACTGAAGCTCCCTCTCTTTCTGCCGTGCCCCAAGGCTCCACTCGGATGGGTTACCGCATCTCGCACATGGGTTGCTCACGTTGCCCAGAGTGCGCGAACGAGGACGCAAGAGTCGGGATTGAGTATAGTCATGCAACTGTAACTGCATACCCAGCGCAATGACTATGTATACCCCATTGCACTCCACTATCAGCTAGACTTCCATAAAAAAATAATAAGCTGAAATGTCGCGTCGCATTTAATATTTGGGTCACTGTATATTCACATAAACTAAAAATCATTGAAATCGGCCCAGTAGTTTAAGACTTTTCGGATTAGAGAAAATTCTTTCAATTTTATATACTTAACACATTCCCACATGAAAATTTTCTCCGAGATAAGGCTAGCAGCTTCTAATAAATTTTGGGTCGCCAAATTAAAAAAAAATGCAAACTTATATGCCAGCCAACTTTGAGCTCGTTCAACTTTTTTTCCTTGCAACCCTGCGTTTGTTTACATTCTGTATACATACCACTACTTTGAAATTGTATTCTGGCGAGTCGCTTGGTAAAACTTGGTAAAAAAGCACTTTTGCCAACGCTTGGCTTACCAAATTTACGCCAATTGATAAAATTATCCGGAAAACGGATAAAATGGCAAAACTGATTCTTATTAACTCGCGCAACTGAGCTCTGCTACGGCGCGACAGAACTTTGTATTTGCGTTTGGTTGCTGACGCTCTGAGTTCACTAACGATTCGTTGGATTTTAAAATTTTCGCAACTGAAATTTGCAGCTGCACGTTCCTTTTCGTGCAAGTTTATTCGCGATCCAATTCTTATGCTGTCTGGGATGATTTAATGAATGTTAAATAGTTTATTAATATAATTAATATAAACGAATAAACGAACAAAGTTTAATTTAATGTAAATATGTGAATGCTGACATGCGCTCATTGTTATGCGCTGTTCACCGACTCGCACCGACACGTCTGCTCTCAACGAATGACCACGACTGACTACCCCGTATTTGAAATATATATGGATATTTTACTTTAAACATCTATCCTATACCTGTCTTCACACCAAATTACAAAGTCATGTGACTGATGGTTCCCGAAATTATTCCTGATTTAAAATTTCACGCCTATGGGATGTGTCACGCCCCATGTACAAACTCATTCATATATACTTTTTTTATAACTGCCTACTATGGCTATGTCTTCATACCAAATTTCAAATTAATGTGACGTATGATTCCGAAGTCACACCTATAGGATGTGCCACGCCCCTTTTACAAAAGTAAATCTACTTTACAACAAGCATCTACTATAGATACGTATGTCAACACACTAAATTTCAAAGTCATGTGACTTACGGTTTCGAAGTTATAGCTGTTATGTTATGTCCGAGGTCACTGTCTGTTAGTGAGTTTAAACAGACAAACAGACAAACAATTTACAGTTTTATTATAGTATAGATTAAAAATTTCACGCCTATGGGATGTGACACGCCCCTTGTACAAACTCATATATACCAGAGGTTCCCAAACTTTTTTTCTCGTAGACCCCTTTCAAAACTTTGCTGGTTT